CGCAGACGGGCCAAAATACAGCGGTTTTGTCAATGCTGTCACACGACTTGCCAGCCGAGCAGAAAATAGACGAGCGACAGTATGGTGAGGCAGACGTGTCCCTCGTTGCTGTGACCGAGACGATAGCAACGGTGCTCGATCTTGTGTACGTACTATATGCTGAAGAGTACGGCTGTCCTGGCGAAGATGGACCCCGAATTCTTGGCTGGCGAGAGATCTGGAAGCGTTGCAAGATTGATTGATTTGCGAACGACTGGCCCCTCAGCTTTCGTCTTGGACGTTCCTTCTCGCGGCCCTATGGATTTTCTCTAGCAACTTCTTGCGTATGTCGTCCTGACTCAAGCCTTGTAACTCCGGACAGAAAGATATCTCCTCGTGTTTAATGAAGCCACCGTCGTCCTGTGCCGAGCAGGACCAGTAACGCAGCTGCCCGCTTGTATTGAGGCATCCATACGCAGCTTGCCGCTGGGTGCCCGAAGACCCTAGCCAGCCGACTTCTGCGTACCGTCGACGCGTAAGCCTTCCAGTCGGTACTATTGGGAGTGGTTTTCGTTTCGCTCTGTGCTTTTTAGGCGGTTGTCGTGAGGATCGCTTTCTGTCGTGCGGCCGCAGTCGGGGACGTTGGTGCAGTTCGGGCCGAGCTGCTGCTTTCGGGACTATGAACTTGTCGGCGCATGTTCGCTATGCCCACACAAGACGTACCTGGTCTTGTATATAGGAAGATCACGTCGTTGCCGGAGTCGTGGCCCAGTGGTAGTGTCCTCGTCGTTGCGGATGCCGCGGCTTTTGGTAATGCGTTTGTGGTAGATGGTGATGTGCTCCACACTGGGCCTCGAGCCTAGACATATAACATCATCGTGGTGATTCTCATCCAAGCTCAACGCCGTCGTCCTTGTTGCCGATGCCATTTCCATCGACTAGGTGTCTATGGTCTGTGGTCTGTGATACATGCTGATATGAGGCTGCACGAGGGTCGCCACTCCAAAGGCTGGTGTATTCGACGGGAGGTTGGAGAAGCTCGGACCACGTCAGCCAAACACCAATCAAGGCAGGCAGGATTCGGTCTCCCTACCTCCATGCTGTCTGCCGGTCTGAGAAACACTCCAGTTCACGCTGTTTCTGGGCACACGATTACTCATAGGGCATCCATGGAATTGGCCCAAAGTCAACGGCTACCTTGCTTGAAAGGCTGAGCAAAGGATCAGCATGCCAGCCATCATCAGGAAAGAGCATGTTAAACGAAACAGCGTGACGGAGTGCTATATTCGCAATGCACCGACGAAGCGCAGCGGCATGGATTCGCCTGCAATGATGCTGCGTTTAAAGATAAGCCTCAGCCCAAAATTGTTCTTCTTTGCTACACTACGCATATCAATCCAGAGGAAGCGTCATACGCCCTTGCCTTTCTACCAAGCGCACGCCCTACCGCTTCAACCTCGGCTGCTTGCGGCTTGCGCCCTTGTCTTCGTCGTCGTCGTCATCCCGTCGCCGTTTCTTGCGATGATCGGAGGTGCCGAAGCACTGCTCGAGCTTTTGGCTCCGCACCAGCTGCTGCACGGTAAACGGCGAGCCACTGATGTCGTGTCCCTCGTCGGCGGTTTCCCATAGGC